ACAAAGCCAAATCCATGTGTAATACTCCAGATATGATCTACCTAGGGAATTGTACACTTTCCCAAACCACTAAAGTTCCTTGCTCCTTCCTATGAGCTAGTGTTATGAGCATAAATTAAAAGCAGTCAATTCCAGTCTAGTTTTGAACCACTGATTCAGGGATGGAGCCAATCCTGCACTCCATATTGACAACCTTAATAAGGCATGACCACTCTGTAACTCACTGAAACATTTAAAAGACAGCGTCTGCTGAAGCAAGTGAGATCTTTCCCAAATGAACAAGTTACTGGCTTCTCCAAGTACTCCTCAATATCAATTAAAACGCGCCACATCAGCGCTGAACCAGACACTGGAGTTAAGGTCCAATATGGTTGCAGGCCTCAAATAAAACTCTGAACTCAAAGATAAAGTAAGAGAAATATTAGAAAGCTTTTTCTTGTGAATATCAGAAACATATTGCAAACTTCTGGAAAGAGAAAATCTACTTTAAATGACTTCTAAACATTCATTTTACAGTTGCTTTGGTACAAATGCTCACAAAAAGCTAAACTGACTTTAGACATCAGCACTGATTACTTACTCCTCTCCATTCTGTGCTGCAAATATGGAATCTGAGTTGAAGACCCCCTTCCCCCACTCAGTTCTAAACCGCAACATCTACTGTAATATTCTTACAAATTACCTGCCTGGATACGGATACTGGTCATGCAAATGTTCCACACAACAAATTATTTAAATCCTCTTTCCTCGAAGCTGACTGTTGGAGTTGAAATAGGGTCAATCTAGTCATGTTCAAATTCAGATCTCTTGCGAGCCCACACCACTGTCCTCTTATTGCAGGCGTGCCACACGATTTCATGTGAATGCTCAGAGCTGCATAAATGTAGATGCAACACTTTTTGGTTTCCTGACCGAATCAATAAAGGAATTTAAAAAAAGAGCTTGGGCTAGCCCCAAGGAAAGCTCCTGGAGTCAGACGGAAGGTGCAGGCTGGATTCACGGGGGCCGCTCAGGCTGAAGACGTGCTCACCAACGGGGCAGGCTTGGCGGGCGTCGCAGGAGCCGGCTTCACCGCCGCTGCCGGGGGAGTGACGCTCGCCGCCTCCGGCTTCTGCTGCTCGCACTGCTGGATGAAGAGCTGCGAGCTGGGCGTCAGCTGGCGCAGGGCTGGCACACTTCGCTGGAGGAGGACGAGACGGAATCACAGGGGGCAGCTCAGGACAGTGGGTCAAAACAGCTCTGGCTCATTCACACTGAAAACCACAAGACCCTCAGCAGCCCCAAAGAAGTTCACTGATAACCAATTACTTGGTAACAGAGAATATTGGAAACCTTTTTAGACTTTTCATGTCTTGACCACTCATTTTCTTTAAAATCAGGAACTTGAATTAATCGTGTTGCACTTCAAGGCTTCGAGGGGGGGGGGAGACCATACCTTGAGAAAAGGCACTAGATATCCCTGGGGAGAAGACTTCAGCTCAGTGTACAGTCGTTCCGTGAACTCCTCCGGCTCAATTTTCCCATCCTGACAGAACAGAGCATGTTAAAGCACCGGCCACGTGGCAACTTTTCTGCTTTGGCAGTTCTGAATGGCAGCTTGTTCCAATCTTGGGTGCACAGCTCTCGCCCTGGAGAGGCGCGTCCGAGCAATATCATTCTACCCAAGTCCTCACCGTGGTGCTAGAAAGTTTGTGAACCCTTTAGGATTTTCTGCATAAATTTGACCTAAAACGTGATCAGATCTTCATCCAAGTCACAAAAATAGATAAAGAGAACCCAATGAAACAAATAACACACAAAAGGATATACTTTTTCATTCATTTATTGATCAAAATGGTCCAACATTAAATGTGTTTGTCAGAAAAGGTATGTGAACCTATGCTTTCAGTAACCAGTGTGACCCCCTTGAGCAGCAATGACGTCAACCAAACGTTTATGGTAACTATTGATTAGTCCCACACATCGGCTTGGAGGAATTTTGGCCCATTCCTCCTTACAGAACTGCTTCACCTCAGTGATGTTGGGGGGCTTTCTTGCATGAACTCCCCGCTTCGGGTCCTGCCACAACATTTCAATTGGATTGAGGTCTGGACTTTGACTATTTTTATGACTTGGATGAAGATCTGATCACATTTTAGGTCAACTTTATGCAGAAATTCAGACAATTCTAAAGGCTTCACAAACTTTTTAGCACCACTGTATCTACCTAACTGATCTGATTACTGTATTAATTGGAGATTTAATGAGCAATACAAGACCTGCATGACTGTGCCCCTCCAAGGACTGGTGCTGTGCACCCACGAGACACTAATAAGAGTAGGACAGTGAAATACAAACACCTGCAGGCACTTTTATCCACACATGTTGTACTTTAAAAAATAAAATTCAGAACACTGTACAGCAAAAAAAAAAAATTACAATTCAACTAAAAAAAAAAAAAAAAATCACTATTCATAGTCAGGGCTGGTAAGAGCATGTTAAATTATTCATATTACCAGCAGATCTTTCACCAGCTCCTTGACATTCTGTGCCATTTCTGCAGAGCGAGCTCCACTGGAAGACAGCTTAATTAAGGTCACAAGAAAGTTCTTGCACTTCTTCACATTTTCCAGAGTCTCCTAGGAAGGGGAAAAAAATGCTCATGCACATCTCAACTTAATAACTGAAAACAAAACTAAAGCATTGTTTAGTTTTATTAGAGGCACCAAACGCTTCAGTCATATACCACATCACCACAATGCTTTGGCACAATCTGTTCTTTAATTGTTTTAATTAAATCATTTACACAACTAAGGCACTGTTTTATCAAAGAGCTGCACTGGATTAGACTGGAATCTGAGCTGTATAAAACCAAACATTTGTGCCAACTGCATTTATTTAAAATCTGCAGAACACAGGCATTGAATATTATTCCTAAAGCATGTAGCGCACATTTGTGTGTCATTTAATATTTGTTGCTACAAGAAAGTACGATTAGAGAAATTCAGTTGCCACCAAAATCTGTTTTGCAGCTTTCTTGCAGTATGGGTAACCATGCACATCTCCGTAAATACAAAAACAATGCAAAGGGATAATGAAAGTGCACCTTTTCCAACATACTGCTCTACCAAGACCCCATTTCTGCACTCTTGTGCCCACAGGTACATAGAGAGACAATGAATGTCTGGTAACTGGCTACATGTTCTTTGAGTCAAATCCAGGGTCTTCTTATGTAATTCTAATACCCTTAAGCTAAATACTGAAACCTCAGGATAAAGGGGAAGAGAATAGCTTACAAATGTTGAAATAAAAGCATTAAGATAAAGAAAACTATTTGGTAAATTTTAATGTGAAGGCTGATAACCGTCCACTACAATCTACCATCATAACTGTGTTAACAGACTATACATCAGATCTTCTTACCATCTCTCCTTGACACACCCTTTTACTACTATACAACCTGTGCACTTCAAAACCATTCAAATGAGAACTCAAAGATGAGAGTAGCAGATTAACATTGTCTGGCTTGAGCTGTAAATGTGTTGGAAGCACGAAGGATTTTAATGGATGAAGATTACTGAAAATAGTGAGAACAGTCAAGGGGCTTCTAGTTAATCTTCTGGCAGTGACTAAAAACTTCCTTCTCAATCCGAAGTCTTTTTCACATGAGGTTCAAGAAGTATTCGCTAGTAGAGTGTGGATCCAAGTTGAAAGAATAGAAAGAAATGTGTTTCAGCTGCGATGTCAGCTTCTTCCAGTGTGGATGCCCATTAAGTAGACCATTTCACCATGAAATATTGCACAGTTCATCTACAATGTTACGCCAGCCAGCACTATAGGAAAGTAGTAGTAGTTCAAAAATTAAGATTCTCAAACATTTAAGCAGACTAGATATTCTAAAATTTAGAATATTAGGGTCCCTTATAACAATACAAGCTGTCATTTTACCTGCTCAAAAAATACCATGGTAATAATAATTGCTTACACTTATACATATAGTGCTTATAGTGCTTTTCTGGACACTCCACTCAAAGTGCTTTACAGGTAATGTTGACTCCCCTCCACCAACAGCAGTGTGCAGCATCCACCTGGATGATGCACCAGTCTGCTCCGCACACACCAGCTCTCAGTGTGGAGGAGAGCAGATTGATGAAGCCAGTTCAGAGATGTGGATTAGGAGGCCATGACTGGTAAGGGCCAGTGGGAAATGTGTCGAGGATGCCGGAATAACACCACTATTCTTTTCGAGAAACGCCCTGGGATTTTAAAATGACCACAGAGTGTCAGGACCCCGTTTACATCTCATCCGAAGGACGAGTCCCCATCACTATACTGTGGCATTAGGACCCCCACAGACTGCAGGGTGAGCACCCCCTATTGGCCCCACTAACACCACTTCCAGCAGCATCAAAGCTTTCCCAGGAGGTCTCCCCTCCTGGTACTGACCAGGCTCACACCTGCTTAGCTTCAGTGGGCTGCCAGTTGTGAGTTGCAGGGTGATATGGCTGCTGGCAATCTATTTTAAACATCCTATTTAATGCTGGAAGTGCTGCAGAACTTAAATTTAAAATCTTAGTCCATTTCAAACTTAATATAACAAGGTAAAAGTAATTAAGTGCTCTAGTTACTAAAGACATGACACAGAATCTTTCCAGTTGTTCCAATGTAAAGACCCCTCCACTATCCCACACTGGCAGAGCCTCACCGAGTCCCTGGTAAGTCTCAGCAGCTTCAATCCCAACAGCCAACACTCTGGACACTCTACTCTGGCAGGTGAAACCTAGGACTTGTTGACAAACTCATAGTATTATCTGTGGCCTCAACAATTTCCACTAACAAAGAGAAAAGAGATAAACGGAGGGAAACTAACATGGTTAAAAGCACGTCTAAAAATAAAACAATGAAGAAGCCTTACAGCCGAAAAGGTGCTCTGTGCAGCTGGGGTGGGTTTGGACAGCTCTGCTGTGAAAGGCGTGGTCGCAGGGACAGCCGGTGGGGCAGGCGGCGTGGGTGCTGTGGGCCTTATTGCCTGAACCGATGTAACAGCAGCAGCGGTGCCCCCTGTCGACTGAGACAGAAGGTGGGAGAGTGTGAAAACAAAGCATTCAGCAGTTTTGCAAGATGAAGAAGAAATCCGACGGTTTACTTGTGCTGTTAGTAAAAACTAAACCTGTATATACAGCACCTTCTAATCTTTGCTGCTTTTATTAAAAGGACTGAAATGACTTTATATTTTAGCCTCACATCCATTTCAAAACACTACGAGCAATATGTCCTCTTGAATGGAAAAAAAAAACATTCAGAAAGGATTTCAACCTGTAGCCGATTGAAACAGCTTTATCAGAAAAGTTCATAAACTTTTGGAAACAACAAAAAGTTAGGAGGTAGAGATTAGCTTTCACATGACATACGGTGAACTGGAACAGTAACTGAAGTTTTATTTGTACAATGTAAACACCATATAAAAAGCAATACTCCTACCTTTACGAGTGGAATCCTCTGTAAGGAGGTCACAGCAGCCCCACTGTGCTGAGGCTGGGCTTTGGCTACAGACGTAGTCTCCGGCTTTCTGATGATCGCCGTTACAGTGGTCTGTTCAAATAGAAACATTAGGAAAATACAATCATTTCAGATGGTTACTCATTGTACCCTTGGTCAAGAACAATAAGAATCTTGTTTTCAGAACGTGGTCATAGTAGAAATTACAAATGATTCAAAGTGGAAGAAACATAAGGGTCAATTTCAGTTAATGACTAAGGCATTTTAGGGGATTAGGAAGTAGAAAGAAAACTGTGATGGATAAACAATTGCAAGGGGAGAGAGGTTTATACAAGTCCTTCTACATAAGGTGTCCTGGGTGGCCTTTTCTGCATGACTAGCGTGCAGCGTGACCCCAGGGGAGGGGCTAGCAGCTGTAGCTGACACACACCTGAGTCGCAGGTGCCCTGGCGGTGGTGGAGCTGGTCGAGGCCGCTGTCCTGGGGAGCCCCAGCCCCTGTGCTTGAGCTTGGGCCAAGGCCTGTTGAGATACCAGCATGAGCTGCCCACCATCGCTTCTGATGAGCACCATCCCTGCGCAAAGAAACACAGAACACCAAGGGACGCCATAGTGCACTCACTCTGACTGCTCACAGGAAAGACTGCAATTTTTAATTTGGGTCCATCTTTTTCTTATTAATTGAGACCAAAGTCTCAGGAAAAGCCAAGTAAGGCCAAGTCACTAAGGAAAAATATTGGAAATATGTATAACACTTGGATAATTTTGAAAAATATCCTTATTTTGTTCCATGGATTGTTCCGATGGTCCTGGATTGAGTTCATATTTGAGTGGAATCACAAGTCTGGAATACTGCGATGTACACTGCTGTGCAAAGACTTTAGACATCTCAGAGATGATCAGGAGTTACAAGACATGTACAGGTAGCAGACAAGAGCACCAAAGTAAGTCACTTCGCAGGGCGCTGGGTCTCTATGTGTGGCCATTCCGGCCTCTATGCACTCTATCAGCGTGTGGAATTGTACAGGAGGGATGCAGCACCATTCACCCATGAACAAGTCAATTATCGTGCCGCAGATGACAGAGGAGTAAAACTCTGTCTCGGTTGTTGTTCTAGAATATCCCACGATTGTTCATTTGGGTATGTCAGGGAAGTGAAAGGTTGGAGTATATCTTTAACATCAGTGTCATGTGTCTTGCTCATCAAACCCCTGGGTGACCACACATCCTGTGAATGGGAGCACTGTCATCCTGGAAGACAGTCCTCCCAGCGGGAAGAGATGATCACCCAGTGATCATTATTAGCAATCAACCTGGCTTCTAAGACAAGGAATGCACCCAAACTATGACAGGAAAATGTGTCCCACAACATTACAGAACCACCAGAACCAAACCCTCAGGGCTAGAGCATTCCTTAGGGTGGCAGAACACATGCTCTCATCCATTTGTCAAGAACGACCATATTGCATTTCATCACTACTCGACAGTCTATTAGCTGTGCTCTTTGCACCACTGAGCTCACAAACGTGCACTGCAGGGTGTGTTGAGTGCTTTGTGTTCTGAGATCTTGGTCTTTGATTTAATGATATCACAATCCCACAACCCTGAACCATGTGCTTCTGCCCGCTGTTTCCCCTTGCTGATGACAACACCATGGAAATCCGAGGGAAAGTCATCAGCTTTGATGCCAATGCTCACGAAACATCAGCAAGGTGAGCGGTCTTGGTCACTGGAACTCCTGCCAAACTCACCCCAACAATCACCCCTCTTTCAAAGATACTGAGGCCTCCTCTTGCAGCCATGACAGTCAGAATTATAGACAACCAGGCCTGTTACTTACTTAATAAACATGACCCACACCTCTGTGGAAAGTCTTGCTTGCAATGCATTTGCTGTCCCTCTTACTGAGGTGTTTCTGTTTCTTTTGTCCACTACCTGCATGACATGAGCATCAACCATTTTCTCAATGCCTCCATTAGTGTTGTCTTCACAAGCAACACATGAAAGAGCAGTCAATACGAAGTGCTGGTAGCTTATTTTGAGGTCTTCCTTTTCCATTAACAGTCATTTCACATTCTGCACATAGCCAGAAAGAGAATACTAAGGAACAAGTACTGAAGGCCAGGAAATAAACCTTTACCTGTTCCTTTGCAGCCTACACATGCCGACAGCTCCATACTTAAACTTCTTCAATATAATACTAATACTACTTTTTATTCTAAGATCTTTCATTATTCATTTACGGTATATTAAAGTGGCTAAAATCTCAGTTACAATCAGAGAACTGTTTTTATTTTGCATGAGTATAGCAGCATACAAAAATGTGACTTTTGTACAGCACCGCACATCTTGCAGGTATATAAATCACAAAAACTATATGAATGCCTCCACTGGAGGAATTAACAACAATACAAAGGCTTCAACTATTTTCTGTAAAGTAGGGAAAAACTGAAATGACAGTTTGCAAATCCAGGAAACATTCATGTAGAGGGTAAAATAATGTCAAAGGACACCTAACTTAAAGTTAATTACAACATTGGAAGACAAACACGATCTTATTTAGACCAAAGTTCTGATCATGGCTGTTTATCCAGGGGGCAGCCCTGTGCTCTGGACCATGTGCAAGGCTGTGAAGGAAGTTGCTCCTACCTTGAGGGATCTGGAAATTGGCAGGCAGCTGGACAGTCGTGGTCTGTGGAGTCCAAGGTGCTCCATTGGCCTTCGGTGTTGCTGCTGCCCCTTTCCCTGGTGTCTGAGTGAAGGTGACAAGCCTGCTCACCTTCGAGGCAGGCGTCCCAGAGGTCACCGCGGGCAGTCCAGGGCGAGGCGCAGGCGCCCCAGAGGTCACCGCTTGCAGTCCAGGG